CGCTGCGTCGAGCCGGGCACTGGCGGCAAGGGCGCACCCCGAGCCTTCTCAATGAAATTCGGCCGGGTGCGCGCTCACCAGAGCGCAGTACCAAACCCACTAGGTTCAGAAGAGGAAAAAGCACACAGACACAATTAATGGTCGATTCCTAAGAAAATATAGAAGATATGAGAAGTGGGGGGGAAGACAGAAACCCAGATAGGAAAACATGGGGAATCTTTTTATTTGTGTACATTTATTTGTGTGTCCTTGGGCCCCTTGATAGGTGGGGCCTGGGGCTCGAGGTCAAGCATGAGGCGTCCAGCAATAGGTTTGCTGGCGACTCAAATCTTGTACTCGAGTTGTCCAAGCGCGTGGGCGAACTGAAGATCGGTGGACAAATGGAGCACGTCGACAAGCTCATCGGACACATCGAGAGTGTCGTCGTCAATATGAAGTGGGGACAGCGACGACTTCACCAACTGCGGTGTCCACCGACGCCCCAGCGCCGACGGTGCGCGACGCTCAACCAGCACGAGTACATCCACGACCTGATACCGATCAGGCACGTCGACCTGGCCAAGGCGAGGGCCGACCAGCCCGCTGGAGGTCAACAGTCCGACCCCTTTGTCACCTTGCTCGGAGCAGCCGCTTGCGCCGTGCTCGCCCAGCACTGCGTCGCAGCGTGCACTGTGGCCCGGCCCTGCAGCGGGCTCAAAACAAACGGTTCGTTCGACGCGTTATGCAGCTCAACTATGTGGTCCTCGCCACGCAGAACATCCAGCCGAGCGTCGCCTGTTCTGCCATGGAATGTGCTAGCCAGATGTGTTCGCACGACGACGGATCCTTCAGGACGGACAAGGAGACGGGGTGCCGGGTGCGGTGCGAGGGGCGCCGTCTACAAACGCTTCGGCCAGTGCTGCATCACCCGCAAGGAGGTCTGCCACTTGCTCGATGCCGCGAGCTGTTCGCACAAAGGTGTGTGTAGGTCGTCGTTCGGCTCCGAGCTGCTCGCAGCGCGCAGCGCAGCTGACGGGTTGTAGGCCTACGTCCTCGCGCTCCACAAGATGATCCCGGGCCCAGTATCAGCCGAACAGATCAGGGAGCTGAGAGGAGGGGGGCTACGCCATGCCTGCGGCCCTGGTCGTGGACGGGGTGTCCGTCTTCGCGGCCGCCGCCGTTGATTCTGCGCATCCGCCTTCAGAGCGGAGCATGTCAGGCCACCTATGGTGGCCGCCCGACCAGATCCGCCCCTAGCAGATCACTGACACGCTCTGGTGTGATACTCGCGATATGAGGGCCGACTCCATGACGAAGGGGGACAGCGGTCGGGAGCTGAGCTTGGGCGCGATGAGCGGAAAACTCGAGTGCGACCACGCCGCTGCCAGACCGGGCGACGAGAGGCGCAGGAAGATCGTGCCCATCTCCCGCCACAGCGACCTGAGGACGAATGAGGAGAACGTTCCGCCGATAGCATAAGTATCAACAGTTTCGCTGCACATTTTTCTGCTGCGGAACGTAGCATCGGAGTTCGCAAGTCGCGACATGTATTCGCAAATGCGATATGGGGAAAGGCAACGGCAGCCGCATGTCGTGAACTATGTTCGCGAGTGCGACGTAGCAGGATATCTGAGATAAGGCCCTCATTCGGCGAACTATGTTCGCACATGCGACGTAGTGAGTAATGCAACTAAGGGGCTGCCGCCATGAGGTGCGTTGGCGGAACAGCAGACTTGTCGGCGTGCAGCACGCTACTCGTGTTACTGTGCATCGCATTTTTTATTGTTTTCTTCCTTATGTTGACCGTTTTTTTTTTTTTTTTTTTTTTTTTTTTTTTTTTTTTTTTTTTTTTTTTTTTTTTTTTTTTTTTTTTTTTTTTTTTTTTTTTTTTTTTTTTTTTTTTTTTTTTTTTTTTTTTTAAAAAAAAAAAAAAAAAATAAAAAAAAAGGTGGGCCAGGTCAGTAGAAGGTCCTTGTGCAGCGTTGCCTCCTGTTGCATGTGACGCGTCAGCCTGCTTCGGTTTGGTTTGTGAGCCCTGCGGGGAATAGTTGGTGCCCCTCTTCGCGCGCCGTGGGAGTTTTTGCGGCTGGCACCTTGGGGGCCGACGTGCTTCGGGGCGCCGCGAAGTCCGGCAACTCCTGGAAATCGGCGAATCCAGGCTCTCCGATTTTGCTGCAACTGGTGATGGGGCGTTGTTGGTTGCGGCACGGCTTGCGTACTGTAGACGACGGGGCGCCGGCACACTCGTTTGAGCACCAACCTTTTTTGCCCTGTTTGTCGTGCAATTGTCACCCTTGCCGCGGCCGTTTTGGCCGTGGGGCGTGGGGGCCGGGAGCCTGCGGCCCCCCTTTGCCCGCGTTCGACGCGCGTCGTTTCCATTGCGTTCAGGTAGAGGCGCCGTTTTGCCATCACATCCGCTTCGTAGTATCTTCCTCTCCGCCCCTGTCGTAAAAGTGGCTGGGGGCTCTGATATTCGAGGCGAGGAGGGGGAAGGAGGGGGAGTGGCGTCGATGAAAGGGGAGCGGGGGGAAGGGCGGAAGGAGGAGGAGGCGGAGGATGAGGAGGCGGAGGAGGAGGAGGAGGAGGAGGAGGAGGAGGAGGAGGAGGAGGAGGAGGAGGAGGAGGAGGAGGAGGAGGAGGAGGAGGAGGAGGAGGAGGAGGAGGAGGAGGAACAAGAGGAGGAACAAGAGGAGGAACATGAGGAGGAACATGAGGAAAAGGACGGTCGTCATATTTGCCACCCTTCGCTTCCACCTCCTGAGCAGCTCTGACGAAGCTCGTTGCGGCCATTTCGGGGCCGGATTGGGCTCCGAGCCTCCGAGATGCTGCCCCGAGCGCGCGCGACGAGGACCCCGAGAGCGGCCGTCTCTCCCCCGCCCCCCCGGGGCCGCGGCGGCCCGCACCGAAGGCCAGCTCGGGGAAGACAGTCTGCCTGTCCGCCTCGGCCCTGTGCGCCCGCGGAGGGTCTCGACGACACGCCACCGTTGGGAACCGATCGGCGTACTGCTCGTGCTCGTCCGCCGTTTTTCTTCGACGCTGACGGGTTCCCAGCGGCGTCGTGTCGTTGCGACTCTTCTCTTATTCCCCAGCCAGAGTTGCAGTGTGCGTCCTGGCCGTGTCCATGGTGGCGTCGTGGAGTGGAGGTTGCACTGGTACCGTGCCCGTGCCACTAGCACCCGTGCAGCAGAGATTGGTATCGGCGTTTGCTTTCGTGCACAATTGGGACGTGCATTTTTTCAGTTGGCCTCAGTGAGTCGCGGCTCGCTGTGCGCCCATGACCGCGAAGCGTCCGAGACAGGACCTCCGAAAGACGCGGGGACGGCCTCCGCAAAGTACCCAGCGGTTCAGGCTCAGGCCAAGCTCCGGCTAAATTTCAGGTCTCGCAATATTGCTTACGAGCCGTGATGCGGCCGTTGCTCGAAGCCGCCGCGTCGCCTCCCCCAGCCGTTATGGCATTCCTGGCGCGAATCTTGTGTGCGGTTTGCTAGCGCTTATGATGATGACGAACGAGCTCGCGTTTCAGTCTTGACCTTTAAGCCCGCGCGCTTGGCTCTGCAATATCGCTGCATTTTCTTATTTTTGTTTTGCAGTATATGATAGTACATCTAGTGTATAAGTTTCAATGACTGACAGTGCTCACATCATGATATGTATAGCGACGAAGTGCTTGGTTCCCCCGCAGGCGGCAGGTGTAACATTGTCTTTGCTTTGGTTAGAGCTGTGTGGCGAACAGGGTACAAGACCACAAGCAGAATTGCTCTTTGGGGTGATGCTGCTTGAGCCGATCATCTGGGTTCTGGCTGGCGTTCATGTGGAGGTCTATCTTTCAGGTAGTATTGCTTTCCAGTTGGTCGCCGTACCCATGGGGTTGAGTCCCTTCGTGGGTGCCTGTAGTTGCATTTTGTCATGCTTTTCGAGTGGCTTGTTCGTGGGCATCCCGGGGGGTCTTTTTTTATGTGTATTCATCGTAAGCAGATCTGTCATCGACCCAACATCGCAGGGCGGATTTCGTTAGTAAAACGATAAGGTGGGCCTGGAGTGTCCTGGAGAATGTTGATCCTGATCCCGAGGTGAATTTCGTGCGGATTTTTTTTGGCCAGGAATGAAGACCAAAATTATTCCACGCGAAATTCAGTTCGTTTTTCGCTCGCCATGTCGGGTCGGGCAAAAATTCACGCAGAAATCCACGCAGAAATCCGATGCAGCACGTCTGCAAGGCCGGTGCAATGAGATCTGGAGCGGCTTATTTAAAACAGTTATTGAACTGTTACAGTGGAGCTCCCACGCGGGATTGTAGTTAAAGCGTGCCCTCGATTTCACCAGATGGTCGCGGTCGAATGTGTGATAGGTCAACAACTTTGGAGTTCGATTATTTGCTGTCATTTGCAACCACCGGCGTTTTTAGATCTAGCTTAGCCACCTTTCAACATCCTAATGGCTATTCTTAGGACGCGATGCTTGTTCCTTACAGTGGGAGCTCCAAAAACAGTGAAAGTATGTGTTCAATCCCAAGGCAAAGTTCGCCACGTGGACATCGAGGAATGGAGATACCAGACAGGAATCCCGCGTGAAACCATGGAGCCCTCAGTAGATTCTTGGGCTTACGCCACACCGCCGGCTCCTTGGGTGACTGGCGGTTGTGGCGTGTTGCTCCTGAGAGTCTCTTGGTCGCCTTTGTGGTGGCACGTTGGGACCAGCTCCCGGGGCTGAAAGAAGCGTGTGATAGCAGAAAAGATGGGAACCCGAAACACGTTTTCAACCCGTGGGACATTGACGGAGTTGGCCCCTGGAAGCCTCTTGGGAGGCTGTGTGGGGTTCTCGTCGAGCGTTTTCGGGGCTTCGGGGGCCGTCTTGGAGCCGTCGTGGGCGTCTCGGAGCGGGATGTGGGGTGTGTCGGGCCCTCTTGGACTGCGTACCGCGTGCTCGCGAAGGAGTGCCCCGGGGCCCCTGGCAATCGCGGTACCGCCCGCACCGCCAGTCGCGATTTCTGCGGCTGACATTCTCAGGGTTCGCCGTTCCGTAGCCAGTTTGGCTCAAGCCATCTGGTTCAGGAGCGGAGAAACCATTCCTACCGGACTGCTTGCACGCGGACGCGGCTCTTCAGCGATGTCCGTTGATATACAAGTGCGCAGACACTTAGAAGAAGGTCTCGCGGTGCCGTCAGTCATCTCGGTGGCGCCCTTGCTCGAGCACGCGGGTCCTGTTACAGGGCAATCACCTATCAATCTGTCTCCTGATTTCCCTCCTCGGCTGGGGGGAGCGTTTTCTTTCTTTTGCACTCTCAAGGCGGACGGCATAGATACGTGGTTCCGTGTGTTCGACTTCTCTTCCGATGCTGACGACGAAAGTATCACGGCTGGGGTGATCGAGCATACGCATGACTTGCATTTCACTGTTTTCCGTGGCAAGATTCCCATGAGTGTGCGCGTGAACGACTTCTTCGAAGAAGGGCAGGAGTTTTCCTTGCTCTGCACGGTATCAGTGTCGGGGCACATGAAGGTCTTCAAAGACGGTGGCCTTGTTGGCGAGAATCAGGATGGGCTGCCACCAGTGTCTATGGAGAGGCCGCACATGATAGTCGGCGGCCACTTCTTGTACCACAAACAAGCCTTTCATGGTAGCATCAGGGACGTGAAAGTCTGGGACCAGGAGGTCACGTGGCCGATGGTGCAAGTGGAGCCGGCACTGCCAGAGTCGGAGGCGGACGTTGGGTTAGCGGCTGATGCCAGTTCGATGATCACTCCGAGCAGAGACCCTGGGCTCGTCGGCGGCGTCGACGCGATGGCCACCCCGACCAAATTGCCAGAGAAGATGGAGTTCGCAGAGGACGGAGGTGCACAGTGCCAAGTGCCAGACCAGATCGGGGCGTCGTTACTGCCGACGCTACACGAGGTCATCGCGTACGACGTCAGCCAGGGCACCGAGGAGATCCCCATCTCCAGCGCGTGAGAGTTCTCGCGGAGCCACAAGGGCATGGCCCGTGTGAGGGGGAGAGTGGGAGGATGTCATGCTAGCCGTAGAGCCCACCAAGCATAGGCCAACCGGGGCGGGAGCCGTGAAGGGTGGGGCTTGGGGCATTTTGAGTGGAACCCATGCAGGGTTGAGCCCATGCAGACCGAGAATCATCTGATCCATGCTTTTGAGCTTCCTCTCCTCTTGGCTTCAGCCTCCTCCTTTCCAATCCAACAACCTGCTATCGCGCACATCAGTGAGATCCACTGCGGAGAACGACCTTCCCATCTCTACCTGCAACAGTGCCGTTCTGCTTGCGCTGTATAGCGAATGCCAGTGGTCAGCTGTCCCTGCGACGAGGACACGCACATTCGCCAGCAATGGTGCTTCGACCGCAGTTCTAGGCTTGCTCGAGTTTACGGGCATGTCTGGCAGATATAGAATATTCGAGTCACGCTTGCCTTCTCCTCAGCTCCTTATCCTTCTATTCCTCCTCGCGGCAATGACCACGCCTTCCACTGGCGGCGCAGTCTCCACGTGCGTGCAATACCATCGGGGGCAGCCAGGTAAAAGGAATTATGTTTTTTGTGTTGTGCGTTTGGGGATGTCAGTGTTAATTGTGTGTCGTATTTGAGTGGTACGCGTTCGGCGCCATAGCCAACCAGTGAAGTTCGGAATCCGACTGTAATCACCAGACACATCGTGCGAGTTTTGGAAGTATGTTCTGACCGCAGGCGAGCTGCATCTCACCCTCGACTGACACTGTTCACGACCTTCCGGGTCTTTCTGCCCTTGTTTAGGAGGGATCCTGTTGCAAGCGCAGTCGATTCAGAGCTCGCCTGCGACCTGGCATCGTGTGCCGAGGACCGCCCGTGGTCGTGGGGCGACTTGGGGACTCGAGCGGGGTCTGGTGGAGAGTGTGCAGCGGATTCTGTCGATGTGCAGCGATCCAGCACAACCTCCTCGAGCTCAGGTCCTGGGGCCCCGCTCCCAGCTGGCGCGTGCGCGAGGACGGTTACAGGCCAGGCGTGCGACGCCCCGCCTCGACGGCACGTGCGCGTGCAGGCTGGCGCGGGAGTGTCCGCGCGGCCCGGCGTTTCAAAAGGCCGCGGCGCGGCGCTCTGCCCGCAGGCCCCGTCGGCGGCCGCGCCCGCGGCTCGTCGGTCCCGAGCTAGGGCACGATGGGGAGTGGCCGCGCCTCCTGCTTTTCGTCCTCCTCCCCCACTCTTCTTTCCTCCACTCCCTCTCTCTCCTCCCCTCCCCTTTCCCTGCTGTCTTTGAAGTGGCGCCGGCCGCCCTGGAACCTGCGAGCTGGTGCCGTTGATCCGGTTTTATGACCGATGCCATTCCATTCGCAGGTGTGTATGCGTCAGGGGAGTTCGGTTGGCCCGTGGGGTGGGCAGGGTGGGGCAGGGGGAGCTCGACGGCAAGCCCACTGGCGGTGAGAGTCTCCCGCGCGCTGCCCCATGCCCCTGCTCCCCTCCCCGCCTCCCCCGTCTCCCCTCCTCCCTTTCCTTCCCTCCCCCCCTCGCCTCCCGCCTCCTCCCCCCGGTGGCACTGGGCGCTCTTCTGCTGCCAAAGCTCGTTCGCCGAGCTGCAAATGCGGTTGCGGATAGGAGGAGTTGTGCCTTCACCCGCAGTGGGAACTTTCGCTATTCTGCCCGCGAGCTGTTTCCATCACGCTGCACTGCAAGTTGTAGGCAGGTGAGTTGGGGTTGCCATTGCGCACAGCTTCCGACGAGCGTTGACGTCTGCTTCGTACTGGAGTGCCTGTGCATTTCATACTGTGTAGTTTGGCTTGACCTGAGATGAACCGATCTGTCGCCGAAGTGAGCAACAGCAATTCTCAGCGTTCGCCTTGCACGCAAAGAGAGACGGGCGACAACCCACCTTTACAGATAGCGGGCACCTGTCAACATACGTTTTGGAGCCCTCAGGGGCGCCTTGGAGCGAGATGTGTGGCGTGTCGGGGCCCTCTTGAACAGACTACCGCGCGCTCGCGGAGGATCTCGCTGGCCCCCCGGCAATCGCGGCACCGCCCGCACCGCCAATAGTGATTTCAGTGGCTGACATTCTCAGTGTCCGCCGTGCACGCATCGGGAAACGGGCGGGAACCCACCTTTACAGTCGGCGGGCATCTGTCAAAACACGTTTTGGAGCCGTCGTGGGCGTCTTGGAGCGAGATGTGAGTCGTGTCGGGGCCCTCTTGGACAGTCCACCGCGTGCTCGCGAAGGATTGCGTCCCCCGCCCCCCCGGTAATTGCGGCATTGGCCGCACCGCCAATTGTGATTTCAGCGGCTGGCATTCTCAGTGTTCGCCGTGCACGCATCGTGGACGGGCGAGAACCCAAGTTTACAGTCGCCGGGCAGATGTCAAAATACCAGAAGAATGATCCCGCCATCGTACCTGGGTGGCGGGTCTGAGGCCGCTTGGATGGCTCTTGGGGGCCTCCCGAGGGCCTCCTGATTTTTTGTTGGGTCCTCTTTGAGCTCCCTGCAGGCCTGATGGGGCCTTCTTGGGGCATCCACCCGATTTGAACAGAAACTGTCCAATCACCCGTGCACTGGGTGCACGAACTGATTACTACGGCACGCGATTATGAGGAGGTCTAAATTGATCGCCCAATTTTGACAAAGAGCCGCGTCCACCCGTTCTGATGTTACACGGGCTACGTTATGGTCGTTCAAGTGGAGGAAGGCTCAAGAAACGCTTCGTTTTCACAAAACGCCGCCCTTCATGGGCACGGGCTTTTGAGACGAATGCGTGCGGCGCTACTTTTGAAACCCAGTCGCCCTCCATTCCTGTATGTGCTACGGGCTTAAAAAAAGAATGCGCGCGGAGGGAAGGCGACATTCTCATGTTGCAAGTTTTCAAGGCGAGCATGCGCGACGCTACGGCGATATCCTTACCCCCATCCATCTTCGTAGCTGGCGCGACGATTCAGATATCATTCGTGCGGCGTTCTGGCGACATCGCCATTTTGAAAACTCCCCCGCTCCATCCTTGTAGCTGTTGCAATAATTTAAGGCGAACGTGCGCGGCGTACGGCCAGAGCCCAGGTTGGGCCCCCTTATGTCGATGCGTGTAATTGTGGCATTTCTCAAGGCTCAAGATCATAATTGTCGAAGACGACTCAGGTGAAACGCCCAGTCCGCCCGACCGGCACGTTTGAGGGATCGATAGGGAGGAATTGCTTACAAGGAAAATGGATTGGGGGTCGCCACATTTCGACATATACCCTTCTTCGCGCGCTTTGCCTTCGGACATCGCGATGTCCGCATTTGTTTTATGGTCTTGCGGCTTCGGTCGATCGTCTTGTCACGAATCATCAAGGCTTCAGACCCGCTTCTCTTTGTCCGCGCCTCCCCTCTGTCTTCCTTTCCTTCCCCCCCTCGTCTGGTCTGACACACTCATCTCGCACTTTCTTTTTCCCTCAGGCCGCATTTCATCGCATGAACTTGCCCGTGAGACCTCGGCTCGTGCAGCGTTCTTCGCTGATTGGCCATCGTTTGTGTCGTGCTGCTGTGCGAGCCGTCGTGAGGTGCAGTGGCCGCGCGCCCCCCTTCCCCCCCCTTCGTGAAGAGGAGGCGAGAAGGAACAGGGGGTGGGGGGGGGAGCAGGCTCGGGATGAGGTCGCGAGGGGTCAGAGACCAGGCGACCGCAATTGTGGATCAAGGGCGCGCGGAGGAGCGACGGGCCCCGTTCCCATGGGAACTCGCGGACTCCCGCCGCCGAACGCGGCGGCACCGGCCGCATCTTGGGGGGGGGGCGCCTCCCCCGATCCATGGACTTTGGTCGACCGCGCGCCACATCCGCGGATCGCCAATCTATGCTTGTCAGGAGGGGGCAAAAACACACAGACACAAAATGAATCGTCGATTCCCGAGAGAATAAGGGGGAATCCTTTTTTATTTGTGTGCATTTATTTGTGTGTTCCAGGGCCCCCGGGGAGGGGGAGGAGGAGGAGGAGGAGGAGGAGGAGGAGGAGGAGGAGGAGGAGGAGGAGGAGGAGGAGGAGGCAGGAGGAGGAGGAGGAGGAGGAGGAGGAGGAGGAGGAGGAGGAGGAGGAGGAGGAGGAGAGTGGAGGAGGAGGAGGAGGAGGGCCCCTTCAGTCTGCGCGCCCCCGAAGAGGAGAGGGGAAGTGGCGGCAGAGCCGGGGGGGGGAGGCGCCCGGGGCAGGAGCCGGCGCCCACGCCGCTGCGGGGCGCCCACGACGGCCACGACGCGCGCGCCCTGGGGGGCCACGCGCACGCGGAGGACGACAGGCGGATGGCCCTTCCTCCTGCGGAGGAGGGGGGGGGATGGAGGAGGAGGAGGAGGAGGAGGAGGAGGAGGCGGAGGAGAAGGAGGAGGAGGAGGAGGAGGCGGAGGAGGAGGAGGCGGAGGAGGAGGCGGAGGAGGAGGAGGAGGAGGAGGAGGAGGAGGAGGGGAGGAGGAGGTGGGGAATGGGGTGGGGGAGGAGGAGGAGGAGGAGGAGGAGGAGGAGAGGAGGAGGAGGGGGGTAAGAGGAGGTGGATGAGAGGGATGGGGTGGAGGAGGATGCCGGGGATAGGGAGGAGGAGGCGGAGGAGGAGGAGGAGGAAGAGGAGGGGGAGGGGGAGGAGCTGGGGATGGAGGGAGGGAGAGGGTGAGGAGGAGCAATAAGCGGGAGGACCAGCTGGGCGCGTTTGCGTCATATGACATCTTACACGTCCTACCCATCCCTCACCTTTGTATTTGCTGTTTCCTGTCCGCCGATGGGGGTTCACAGTGGAACTGAAACCTCCAAATCACCCCATGTTGTTATTCGCAATCGGAAAGTGCAATTGTGCACATTGGAAGAGGAGAATGTGGTTGATGAGCAGGCGGATGAGCAGGAGGATGATTAAAAGGAAGAATATGAGGATGAGGAAGGAAGATGAGGAGGAGCAGCAGCATGAGCAGGAGTAGGAGGAACGGGAGGAGCAGGAGGACGAGGGCGCATGGAAATGGGAATCGACAGCGATGAGGAAGGCATCATATCCAGAAATGTGGCCTGCGCTCAGGCGAGAGTGCCATTCTGAACGACGGGAACAACGCGCCGATTCTGAAATGAGGCCAGCGCTGCAGCGGTAGCGCCACAGCAGTGCCGATCGACACAACAATACCAAGCGTACACTGTCTGAATTCCGATGCGCAAGAAACCAGGGAGAAAGTTGCCTCCGCTGTTGTCGAAAACGCCTATGGCGAATCACCGCCGCCCCATGCGTTTTGGAATGGCCCATGGGGCCGAGCGTTGCGGCAAGAGCTCTGCCAAGCTATCGGACCATGTGCTCCCCCAACCGTTGTGGAACCCCTTCAGGGAACACTTGGGGGGAGGATTGCGGGGAACACCGGGAGGAGGAGGAGGAGGAGGAGGAGGAGGAGGAGGAGGAGGAGGAGGAGGAGGAGGAGGAGGAGGAGGAGGAGGAGGAGGAAGAGGCATCTTGGGAGCCTCTGGGGGATCTCTTGGGGCCTCCTGGGAGTTTCTTTGGAGCCTCTCGGAGGTATCTGGGGGGCCTCGTTGGACCTCTTGGGGGCCTTCGGGGGCTTCTCAGGGGCTTCTTTGGCAGTCTCACGGCGTTCCTGGCCCGTCCGCTTCCGTCGGAAGCCTTCTTGCGGGCCTCTCTGGGCCGACTTGAAGCCCTTTTGTGGTGCTCCAGGGCCGTCTTGGAGGCCATCTTGGGCGTCTTGGAGGCCCCTCGGGCCGTCTGGGGGTCCTCGTGGGGCCGTCTTGGGGACCTCTTGGGCCGTTCTGGGGTCATCTTGGAGGCCTCTTGGGCTGTCTTGCGGTGATCGTTGGAGGTTCTTGGGCCGTCTCAGGCCGTCTTAAGGCCGACAAGAAGCAGAAACCATAATCCTTCAACAACCTTAGGCAAATCACTGATTTTGGCGCCTTCGGGCCTTCCTGGGGGCCCTCTTGGAGGGCTCTTGGGCCGACTTGGAGACATCTTGGGGTGCATCTGGGGCTGTCTTGGGCCATCTTGGAGCCATCTTGGACTGTCTTGGTGGGTTCCTGGCCCGTGTGACGTCGTCGGAAGCTGTCTTGGTGGCCACTCTGGGCTGACTTGGGGCCCTCTTGGGGTGCAGCATGGCCGTCTTGAAGGCCGTCTTGGGAGTCTTGGGAGCCTCTTGGGCCGTCTCGGGGCCCTCTCGGGGCTGTCTTGAGGGCCTCTTGGGCCGTTCTGGTGTTACTGGAAGCCTCTTGGGCTGTCTTAGGCTGTCAGAGGGCCGAGAAGAAGCACATGCCATACTCCTTCAGACACTAAATGACAACTATTGCTTTTGGCTTCTTCGGGCCCTCCTGGAGGATGTCTTGGGGGCGTCTTGGGAGCCGCCGTCTTGGGCCATATTGGGGCCATCTTGAGCCGTCTTGGTGGGATACTGGCCCGTCTGACTTCGTCGGAAGTTGTCTTGGCGGTCACTCTAGGCCGACTTGGGGCCCTCTTGGGGTGTCGCAGGGCCGTCTTGGAGGCCATCTTGGGCGTCTTGGAGGCCTCTTGGACCGTTGTGGTGCGGAGGGGGGGGGTGTAATATTTACGCTTCTCGTAACCCCACCAGTCCAGCCCATCCAGAACTGATGCCCAAGCGAGTTGCCCTGGTCAATGATGTGGATGAGCATGCAGCACAATATGGTTTGTGAAACCATCATACCCCAAGACCGTCATACCCCAAGAAGGAGGGAGGAGGGAAGAATCGGAATAGGCGGGTGATGATGATGATGATGATGATGATGATGATGATGATGATGATGATGATGATGATGATGATGATGATGCTGATGATGATGATGATGATGCTGATGATGATGATGATGCTGCCGCTGATGCTGCTGATGATGATGCTGTTGCTGATATGCTGATGCTGATGCTGACGCTGATGCTGCTGCTGATGATGCTGATGATGCTGATGATGATGTTGGTGATGATGGTGATGATGATGATGATGATGCTGATGCTGCTGATGAGGGATGATGATGCTGAACATGATGCTGCTGTTGATGATGATGATGATGATGATGATGTTAATGCTGACGACGTTCATGATGTTGTGAATGCTTATCTTGATGATGGTGACGCTGATGCTGATACTGATGTTGATGCTGCTGCTCGCGATGATGATGATGATGATGATGATGATGATGATGATGATGATGATGCTGATGATGATGATGATGATGATGATGATGATGGTGGTGGTGGTGATGATGCTGGTGATGGTGCTGATGAGGATGCTGCTGGTGATGATGATGATAATGATGATGACGATGGTGCTGCTGATGATGATGATGCTGATGATACCGATGACCATGATGCTGATGCTGCTGATGACGGTGATGCGGGTGATAATGATGTGGATGTGGACGAGGATGAGGATGATGAGGAGGAGGTTGAGGAGGATGCTGATGATGATGAGGAGGAGTATGAGGATGAGGATGAGGAGGATTGATGATGAGGATGAGGATGATGAGGAGGATGATAATGACGACCACGACGTCGACGATGCTGCTGATGATGATGCGGATGATGGTGATGATGATGCTGCTGATGATGATGCTCATGCTGATGTTAATGGTGACGACGTTCATCATGATGTGAATGCTGCTGCTGCTGATGATGATGATGATGATGATGATGATGATGATGACGCTGATGCTGCTGGTGATGTTGATGCTGCTGCTGGTGATGATGATGACGACGATGGTGGTGATGATGATGGTGATGGTGATGATGAGGATGCTGATGGTGGTGATGAGGAGGATGAGGAGGAATAGGATGATGAGGATGAGGATGATGACAATGATGATGATGATGATGATGATGATGATGATGATGATGATGATGATGATGCTGATGATGATGATGATGATGATGATGATGATGATGATGATGATGATGATGCTGATGATGATGTGATGATGATGAGGAGGAGGAGGATGAGGATAAGGATGCTGCTGCTGATGATGATGATGCTGATGATGATGATGATGATGATGATGATGATGATGATGATGATGATGATGATGATGATGATGATGATGATGATGATGCTGATGCTGATGCTGATGCTGATGCTGATGCTGATGCTGATGCTGCTGATGATGATGAGGAGGAGGAAGAGGAGGAGGAGGAGGGGGAGGAGGAGGGGAAGAACAAGAAGAATAGGGCGAGCAGAAATGCCACTCGGTTGCCTGTTGAGAGCTTCGTGGAGTATCTTGGAGTCTCTGTGGATGCCTCTTGAGAGCTTCGTGGAGTCCTCCTGTGGCGTCTTGGGGGCCTCGGGGGGTCTCAATCAGCCTCTCGCCCTCCCTAGGAGGCCAACATGGGCCCAACACCGAAGGAAAATCAGGGACGCTCCAACGACCCGCGGCCTCATCCGACCAGGTCTGGGTGAGGTGAACCCAACCAGGACTGGTGGGATTCTTGCACTTCCTGCAGATTCACAAGGTCACTGCTGGCCGCGGCTCCCTCGAGGTGCTCTCCCGCTGTGATTGTGATGGGTTGGCGGCGGGTTGCTCCCATGTCATGCGCCCCTTCGACCGCGCGGCCACATGAGCGACACACCGCGCGAGGTCGCGCGCCAGCGCTCTCTTCTCTTTCCGTGCCGTGTCTCTTTTCCGCGCCGTTTCCGCGACGGCGTCACCCTGATAAGGATCAGATTTCGTTTCTCGGCTTTGAGGGGTTCTGCTGGTGGCGGAAGCGGTAACGCGTCGTGGCGCCCCTCGGGAGTCCGAGAAAGGACGCAGCGCCACCCGGCAGGATTCCCATGGGGGCGGCATCGGCTCTTGTAGCGTTGCAGGTCTGGAGCGCTCACTTGCGCCCCCCCCGCGCGCTTGGCCGGCGGCCGGTGCGCCTGGGGCTGCTCTCGCTGCGCCGTGCCCCACCGGCCTCTCTGTTCTTCGGCCGCCGTCGGCGCCTCCGCGCCGCGCGGCGGCCGGTGGTGCCCTTCTCGCGGAACGCTTGGGGCTCAACAGACGGGGGTCAATGCAAACGGGGGTCAGCCAGGGCACCAGATCCTGCAGGATCTTGCGAAGACCCCCTCTGGCTGACCCAGGTTAGCGAGCCGCTCGTGGCCGTGAGGCGGCCGCGCATATTGGCTGACCCGTGTTTGCGAAGACCTGCGTTGCAGTTTTTTTTCCTGCATTGCAGTTTTTGGTTTCCTGCTGACCCGGATCTGGATTGACCCGGGTCAGAAGATCCCCGAAACGTGCGGGATTTCCCAGAAAGGACCCCGAATGAAGCCTACAAGAGTTTACCGTGCGCATTTGGCTGCGGACTCCGCCGCCGGGAGCCTCCAGACGCCGCCTATCGCGGACAGATGCCCCCACCGACAGGACGCATCTTCTCCGCGCGAGCCTTCTGACTGGGCTTGCGTAGTCGCGCAGCGAGGCGCCACCCCCGTCGCGGAGAGAGACCTCCCCACCGGTCGCGAAGTGAGAGGATCCCCGCCGCTGCGAGGCAGGCGTGTCACTCACGCGTGCGCGACGCCCCCGCCCGCCGGGCGCGCGAGGACCCGTCGCGCACCGAGGGGCGGAGCGAGATCCCGACCAACCGGTGGCGGAGCCAGACGCCGCGGATGCGACGCTTGACACCCACCCCCCCCTCTGAAGGGGGGCGCATGGGGGGCAAAGGCGAGGACGGAAATGCCCGTTCGAGCGCAGACGCTGGGGGTGCTGGGATCTGGGCATCGCGGGCGCGCGCCGGAACATCCACCCCCGTCCATTCTGATAAGGGGATGAGGTGTTTGCGCGCGTCCTCTTCTGAATCCCCCTTTCTCTTTTTTCTCTCCTCTGCCCCTTTCTTCCCGCCTCCCTCTTCCCTGTGCTGGCTTACCTGGCCCTCGCTGATATTTGACCGCTACAGCCAGCCGCTGATCCCATTTTTGGAGGTAGGGGATTTCTATTGTCGAATCCAATACAGGAGTTAAGATCGCATATGCGTATTAGAACAGATGTTCCACGCCATCACCTTCAACTGCGATTGGGCCGTGGATGCAGGTTAGGTCGACGTTGTCGCATGGGGAAGCAAGCAACAATCTGGTGTTGCAAACGGTAATGATTGCACGTTGTACAGCACATGTATCTAGTCATATGTGTTCGCGTTCTGCGTTGGGGCCCTTAGCCCCGGTTCCCGAGCAACCCGCTTAAGGGCTCAAGCCAGGCTGTGGATGTGCATAGTACGGCGTTACGGGCACCGTGGTGCGGGCTCGCAGGCCATCGCCGCCTGTGGGGTTTTCTGGCCGCAGTAGTAGACATGGATATTTCTTGGGGGTATCCCCTTTGTTTTTATCCATATCCACTGCTGGCTGATTTGGGTGGGGTCGCCTGTGAAAACTCGCGCTTTGGCCTGGCGTTCTGGCTCGTTGGGCCGCCCCCCGGATGGTCCGTGGCGTCGCGGGCGTGGGGCAGATGATATCGCGGCACATCCTTGGCACAAATAGGCCAGTCGAAGGCTCTGCCGAGGTCGTCAGGCTCGGCGACTTTGCCCAGCGGTTGTGGTGTACGTAGGCATGCCACCCTGTTGCTGGGGACCTTCGCTTGGAATGTGGACGATGGGACTCCTGTTCGGCCATGGTTGCTGGCCTTGTGGCCTCACCGCTCCGGTCGTTTCGCACGTCCTTGCCACGGAGGCAATCTGTTCAGGTGTTCGGGGATCTGTCGGGGTAAATCCTCGCCAGCACCTGATATGGTAATATATTGTTGGTGGCGCCCTTGAGGACTTCGTCAATCTCACTAAATCAAGCCAGTTTGTTGCAGTGCCGTCCTTAACTGACAGGTTCTCAGCTTCATCAGCGTCGCAATCCAAAAATCCTCTTCTCTTCTTCCTCTTCTTGTTCTTCTTATTTATTTTCTTTTCTCCCCAACCCAACTTTCGCTTCGCCTCTTAGAGCCGGCCATGACGAGGCGCTCGCCACCCCCGCGATGGACGACCAGAACGACGAGGAAGAGGCGCTGATGTGGCTGGCCGCGTCGAACGCTGTGCCTCATCACGTGGGGTGGGGGCGAGGGCGCGAAGATAACCCAGCGCGCGTCAGCACGTGATGCCCCCCCAGCCACGAGAGGGATGATGATGGTGGTGATGGTGGTGATGATGATGATGATGGTGGTGGTGGTGGTGGTGGTGCTGCTGGTGCTGGTGCTGGTGTCGGGCGACGACGATGGTGATTATGATTATGCTGACCGATGCTGTTCATGAGCACGGTGACGATGCGATTAGTGGTGATGATGAAGAAGAGGATGATGATATCATGCTGATGCTGATGCTTATGACATGGTGCTAATAATGACGCGGCTGTTACTGATGATGAGGATAACGATGACGATGACGATGATCATGACAATGGTGATGATGATTGTATTGACGACGGTGCCGATAGTGGCGAGGATGTTCAGGATGACGTCGGTGACGATTCTCATGGCGATTCTGTTGTTGCTGATACTGAAGTTGCTGCTGCCGACGATGATCTTGTTGATCGTGATGATGCTGGTGATGATAATGGTGATGATGCCGATGATGTCGATGCTGTGATGATGACGATGCTGATGATGATGCCGATGATGACTATGATGAT